AAAGCTCAGTGGGAATTCTGTGAATGAAATATCTTTTTTAAAATAAATAAAAAATGTAGTTTGAAATGAGGGTCAATGGTGCCACGTCTGGAGAATAACTCCTTCTCGGACCAGCTCCAAAAATGAGTCACAGGAGAAAAAGCCCATAAAATATGTGTGATTTAAAAGGGCATAGGAAGTTGTATAATAAATAAGCAATACGCAGAAAAGCATATCCAATCCAGTTTGTTCAAATGGTAGGATTTTATCACTGGGTTTCAATGAAAAAAGAAAAACTGGATAGAAATCTAAGGGTTTTGACAAAAGCAAGAATGTTTAAACAATGGGGGAGAGAGGAAGCAGAAAAGAAATGAAATCATGCTAAAAGTTATTGAGTAACTGTGCCTCATGTTTGGGGATAAAGTGTGCCGATGCCTTGCTCTAAGACTCTGGATCAATGTGGAATCGGCTCATTCTTTCTACTGACGGCTCAACCGCGGCTTCCTCCTATGGCTTCCTCTCTTATCCCTGGTCTTCCAGGCTTCTCCAAGAGGCTGACTAGCTGGCTGTGCCCCACCTCCAGTGAGAGAAGGCCGGAGCTGACCACATGTGGACAGCGACCATTCACAGAAAGTCACCTCCCTCAACACAGCCCACCTGGCTGCTGCCTTTCTGGGCTCCATCTTCACAAGCCAGGGCCCACTCTTCAACCAGCCTCTGCCACCGAATTGTGAGGCTGATAATTTAATAATTGGAACAAGAAGATCAGCATTAGGTCTTTAGTTTTATTTTAAATACTGTTAGTGATTTTCTAGATGGATTTAAATCTCCAGTACCTGTACATTCCTGCTTCTTTCACTTTGAGGGTGGATAGATTTCAAGGTGATCTTCCTGTGAACCCCAATTCTTGTCACTCACACCCGTGTGTAAGCCCATCCCTTTGAGAGAGAGTAGGGCATGTGATCCATCGTGAACAGCAAGTGGGGGAGTGTCATTCCCGAGATGGCGTCATTTTACGGGCAACTATTTTGCCAGCCAACTCATCAGATATTTCTCCCAGTCACTGGCTTGGAAGAAAGAGACCAGCACTGTGCAGAGCGAGCCACATAATGAGAAACTGAGGTGCAGCAACCCCTAGTTTCCAATTGTGGACCCCATCTGATGCTGAAGCCTTCTGTTTTAAAGCCACAAGGAAAGGACTTTTGCCAACAACCTGATGTTACAGGCAGATCTGAGGCTGCTCAAGACTCAGAGAAGAACTGAAGCACAAAATGATTTGAGTGCTGCGGAAGAGACCAGAAGAGTCTAGCTCTTGACTCAGGGAAATGATAACCTGTGTGGTGCTTGAAGCTACTGTGTTTGCAGTAATTTGTCAGCAGGGATGGAGAACCAATACAGCTTGATGTAACATGAAGAATACGGCTCCTCATGGGCCCTGCAACAGACACGCTAAGAATTATTTAACCCCCACTGTAAGGACATTTATAACATGGATGAAAAAAAAAAACAAAATTAAACAATATCATAAAGGAGACAAGAATACATTTTCTAAATGTGCCCAAAAGAGGACCTCAGGTCCCAGCCAGAGTTGATGGCAGAAGTAGTGGGCCCACAGTTCTAGCAGTTTCCTTGAGACACAGCTTGCTCTGGCAGAGATGAGGAGAAACACAGAGGAAATAGTCAATGCATCACCTCTAAGAAACAATGAACTCCTCTGGATTTCAGTAGAATGAAAATGCCATTCTTTGAAGGACCCATCATGACATGACCCAACGAATACATGACTTTGTCTAGCTACTTTCTCTTTCTAAACCTTCCCTCAGCTATAATATAGAGAAAAACTCAGTGTGTCTTCCACATTAGGTTGTTCTGAAAGTCAAATGACAAAAAGGAGAGCCGCCATCGCTCAAGCGCCGGGAAGGTAGCCTGGCCCCCGATCCACCGTGGGAAGAAGAGCCACGCCAGCTCCTGAACCAGCCGCCATCGCTCAAGTGCCGGGAGGTAGGCTAGGCCCCGATCCACCACGGGAAGGAGAGCCACGCCTGCTCCTGACCCAGCCGCCATCGCTCAAGCGCAGGGAAGGTACCCTGAACCCCCATAAGCCCCCTCCCCGCACTCTCAGACCTCCTGACTGTTCCAGTCTTTGAACCCACTCTGCAGAGGCAGAGGTGGTCATCAAGGGTATTTTTCTGAGTTCCCAACTTTGAACATCTTTTAAAAAAGGGCGTGGGAAACCTGTAATAGAATGTTGTGGAGTTCAACCATTCAGAAGGTTGGGGAACTCAATCTGGGCCTTGCAGCCCAAGGTCAGTCAGCATCATGGGATTCAGCCATCAGCTAACTGAGATCAGGGGTCTTGCATCTTCGCTCTGTCTGAGCCATTAAATGGTAAATACACTATATTGAAATTTTGTTCACTGCAGACATGTTCTGGATTTCAATTTAATTCAAATGATTTAAGGGTGATAGACTAGTGACTACCACA